GGGATGATTATTTTCTAAGATTTGGAAACAATGCTTCTGTTGGTCCATCGCACTGGACTTTTTCGCAGCCGCATCACGAGGCTGGCTCCTGTTCTGTCTGCCACCAATGATGCTTCCAAGTTTTTATTTTTTGATTCCCGTACCACACTGCGAAACCAGGCATCCCCCATCCTACACCTGTGCCTTTGACTCTGTCAGTGATATATGACTTCAGCTCAATATACTGGAGAGGAAACCACCGTTACAGCACACGAGATTTGGCTGGGTTTGCCCAGCCCAGTAAGCGAAACAAGCAACATCAAGGCTTAGTGCAACGTGTGAATCTAATTACAGTCTGCAAAGCTGTTTCAGGAAGCTGTCTTTATTCTCCCCCCCCCCCCCCCCCCCATTCCAGAAGCAAAGCAAAGCTGTAATCTTGCTTCATTTCCCATCACTTTTGGGAGATCCATCATCCTCATCCACCCAACTGTTTCCTTCATGGTGCAGAATAGAGGAGGGATCACCTGGTGGCCTGCTTTCCATCTCTATTCAGCTATTGCTCCATGCATAAAAGAGTTAAAGCTGGAATAACCAAAGGCCACTCTCTTTGGGGCTGTCCCGGCGAATTCCCCACGGTGTTGTTTCCAGCAGCTCCGGAAAGTTCTGTGCTTTTTCGATAAATATAGAAATAATGTAAATTCTTGCTTGTTGTTCACATCTCTTTCTCTTTCTCCTGTTTTTGCCTGCCTGTCATCCCTTTTTGCCAGTTAACTGTTTTGTTCGTTGCTGATGTTTAATAAATAACATCCAGCTGCCTGTTTTTTGCTAGCTGAACCACGTGGCGCGGTGCTCGCTCTGATCTGGATCCAGGGCTGACTGGGAGTGGGCTGAGCAGACTGGAAAATGGCCCATGGTAGTTTTCTAACAACTTGGAGGCCTGAGATGGGAGGAACGTGCAACACGCATCTCCTGGAGGATTTGAAGCCGCCGTCTCGGGCCCCAAAATGGTGCCGAAATATTTTAACAAGCCAAATTCCATCTTCTCCGAGCTTCACGTCATCTTTGGGTGCCCGTGGCTGATTGTGGCACACTCTTTTTCACTGGCCTGATGCACAAGCCTGCATTTCATGGTGCCGACCCTCAGCCTCCCAGACCAAGGCAGCCCGAACTGGTTTTTCTTCATCCCACGAGAGCGGGGAGGAACTCAACAGGCGTGCTGGAAAGAGCTTCAAAACAGAAGGGTCTGCTTGCACTGGCACTGTTGGTGCATTTGGTCGTGATTACATGTGTGTGTAAGACGTTGCAGCCCTTGCTGGGAGAATTTTCCCCTGGCCAGTTGACATTCAGTTCCCCGGCAGGCAGAAATTCAACAGGGGGTGCTTCTCATCCTTCTTGTTGCTATTCGGTGTATTCGCTTGGAGGATTTACACCCTGCAGAAAACTACAGAATTTTATTCCCCAAACAAAGCCCCGATGGTCGGTAGCTGCCTTAAACATTTATAAAGAGAGAGAGAGACTGGACTGAGCAAGAATGAAGAAAAACGATAAATGCTTTTTCTAATGATTCAGGAAGCAGCCGAGTTGCACGTAACACACAGACGGGGCTCCGATGGCTTGGCTGTGGCCCCCATCTTGACTTTTTTGACCCCTCCCTGTGGGCAACCCCACCCTGGTTGAAACCAAACACATCTTCCATTTCATGCACACCTTCAGTATTCATCTGTTTTTCCTGCCTCTCTATTTCCTTCCTTTATCCAAAGCAGAATCTGACAGGGAGAAAGTAAATCTTGAGATGAGACGCGGCAACCATTAGCATTCCGGGGCTCCGATGATCACATCTGGGGAGCGTGCCAAGCCCAGTCACATCAGCAGAGCTGTTATGTTCAGGCTGATCCTTGGCACAAACTGCCTCTCACCCAAGCGGCTCCTTATTTCGCCCCCTCCACCAGGAAGGAGGGAAAAGAAGGAGAAGGAGAAGGAGAAGGAGAAGGAGAAGGAGAAGGAGAAGGAGAAGGAGAAGGAGAAGGAGAAGGAG